TGCACCCACATCAGACGTCCAGCCTGTGGGGCTGTTCACGCCAGAGCTCTGCCCTCCCAGCAGCCCCCTCACGCCAAGCAGCTGCCGCCTCTGGACCAGCTGTAGCTCACCTCAGTCAGCAGGGAGGCCGCTGGGCGACTGAGCCACTCGGGCAGCTGGAGCCGGGTGTGGGGCTGGATTCCCGAGGGGTGGCTCTGCGACAGTGCCTGGGAAGACAGGGAAGGGGGCAACCCCAGCAATGTGTGCACGCTCCCGTGGCAGCCGGGATTTACCTTCCCCCGTGTCACGTCCCGTGGGTATGACGACGATGGTTGTCTTTCGCTTTGGAGCTACTGCATGCCAGGAAGATGCCTGACATCCCTTATCTGTAATTTCCACGACCACCCTCAAAGTAAGTTCTGGCATCTTCATTTTAAAGGCAAGAAGCAGGCTCAGGAGGTAAAGGGACTTTTATGCTGAGTTCAGGGTTGGAACCCAGGTCCCTCTGGCTCCAGGCCTGCCTGCCAGAAGCATCGATCAGGGCAGGCACTATGGCAGGAACAGCACTGGAACTTGCCTCCCGCCAGAAAACCCTGGAGCACAGAAAGGACTTCCTGGGGTCAGGCAAAGTGGCAAGACGCAACCCGGAGGGAGGCCGGGGGCCCTGGGCTAGAGAAGCGGTGGGAGGCCGAGAGGAGAGAACCCCGCTCTTGGGGCTGTTGCGGGCTAACAAGAGGGCACCAGGACAGATGTCAGGCCCCACTTCATCTGCTCCTGTCCTCTCCTGCTTGACTGTAGTCTGGCCTTGCCCTTGCTGCCTGCCTGGCCTAACCAGCCCCACATGTGATGCGGAGCTCAGGGGCACAGAGGGCAGAGGCTGCTGTCCTTCAGCCAAAACTGGAGCTTACAGCCCCGATGGCCGTGGGTGGGGGGAATGAGCAGTGAGGAGCAGCAGCTGGCGGGGGGATGAGTCAGTGGCCTTCCAGGGAAGAAGGTTGTGTCAAATTCCACGCTCCCTCCAGACCCACGCAGGGGTCCTCCTCCGGAACCCTTCCCTGACTAGCCCAGCTCAACTCCTTTACCTAAGTTGCCGACAGTCTTGCTAGCTATAGCCACTAGTGGGGCAGGGCTGCTCAGTGTGTCCAGGACCTGGGTGGGAGTGGCTTTCCGGGGCTCTCATGGCCTGTGGGGGCAGCTGCGGGGAAGGGAACAGCCGGGTCTTAGAGAACCAGGTAGCCTCAGCCCCGACCCTGGCCGGTTGGACTGAGCCGAGCCCATCCTACCCTCAGTGACACCCAGCAGGGCTCCCTGTCACCTGCCACTAACTCTGGCACTTAGTGTCATTCTGAAAACAGAATGAAGAGCTCTCTTCCCCAGCTACTCACGGTTCCAGTCAGCATTTCATACAGCAGAGACCCAAAGCTCCACCAGTCACAGGCTTCCGTCAGCTCAGAAATCCCACCCACCTCTGTGGGAATAAGAACACACATGTCCCAGCCTCACGCAAGAGGGCTGGTTTCCACTCTACCCCTCTGACCCAGACCCGGCCCCTTCCCACTGTCCTTCTTAGCCCCACGGCCCAACCCACAGAGGCACCCAAGATCTCAGGCCCCCCGGCCCCTCCTCCGCTCTTGCCTGGGGCACTGTAGAGATTGTCCAAGGCCTCCCTGCAGTAGTGGGGCTCCACCTCTGCCCACTGGCCGAAATACGTGAGCCGGATGTGACCTTCTCAGCCAGTGTGTGCAGGGAGGAAAAAGGGTGGACAAAACTTGTGGTTAGTAGTCCTGGAGCAGGTGGGAGGGGACTCCAGGGCTTCCCCCAACGGGCACTGGGCAGAGCCTCCCTAGGGCCTGGTCCCCTAAGGCCCAGAAACCACCGGGTTTTCCCAGGAGCTGCCGCCTTGGACTCAGGCTCAGGCTCAACCTTGGCCAACCAGACTCAGCCGCTGAGTGCCGAGTGAAGAGGCCAGGGGAAGAGGCAGGGGGCAGCAGATAACCTCAGAGGCCCCCTGGACTTTGGAGACCTGTCCTTCGCTGGCTGGAGGCTTTGGGGGCCCCATGTGAGAGGTGGGGTGAGGGCAGCCTAATTCCCCCCATCTCCCGGGCACCTACCTGCCTGGTCCAAGAGCAGGTTCCGGGGATTGAGGTCTCGGCACAGCACCCCCTGCTGGTGCAGCGCCTCCAGGGCCAGCAGGGTCTCAGCCGCCCACTGCTTCACCTGCTCTTCCTTCACCCTCCAGGCGCCACGGCCAGACCCCGGTTGAGCCCTATCTGCTAAGGGGCGGCTCGGAATTCTGCCTTGGCCACAGGCCCCCAGCACCCGGACAGCCCCCTGATGAACCCAAGGGAGCCCCCAAGAGGGCCTCACGTCCAAGCTCTGGCCAGGTCGCCGCCTGGCTTGGAGGTGCAGGCGGCCAACCGGGGCCTTCAGAAGGTCCGAGGGGCAGGAAGCGTGGGTCCTGGCGGAGGGGTCACCTTCAGCCTCTCTCTGGGGAGTGATGGGTGGGGCCTCCCTGGCTGGGGGAAGGCTCTGAGAAGTCTGTGGGAGCTCCCGAAGGATTCTGTCCGGCTGGCAGGTGGGTCCCAGGGGGAGTGGTGCTGGGGTCTGGAGGCCGAGGGGTGAGTTGAGCGGAGCCTTCATCCTCTCTGGGCTGGAGCCAGACCTGCCCCCAGACTGTTGGGGCTGCTCCTGGGAGAGCAGGTGGGACCAGAGCGTGCCCCCTGGGCCATGCAGAGGAGCAGTGAGCATGGGGACGGGAGAAGAGTGTGGACACCGCGTCCCCAACTCCTGCCTCCCCTCCGTCCAGCATGAGCCCCCTCCTCCTCAGCCCGGAGTGCCCTCTGCTCTCCCTCTGACCCACCCAGAGGGGACCCAGCCTCACAAGCTGGTGCAAAATGGGTGCTTACCGCCAAGGGAGTTGTAAATTATTGTTCCTGCCTGTGGTTTGGGTGGGAGGTTCACCCGTGCTCAGTATATTATTTTTTAATTTTAGGGAGAACAGTATAATGAAATTTAAGCACGTAAAATAAAAGAAGGCCAGGCATGGACCTGCAATGACTCTATGTTATGACCCAAGGATGTGTCCCTCATTAAAAAAAAAAAATCACTGTAATAGGGTGATCAATAAATATCTGCTCCACGGCCCCACTGCTGTCCTCACAGCCGCAGGCACCACCATCCTATGTGGCCACTCCAAAGAATGGGCACAGACTAGAAAAATGAAAAGAGCCTGAACTGGAAGAAATGGTGACAACAGGGACATTTGCATCAATGCCCTCACGGCCCAGGATGTGAACCTCCTCCTCCAGACGTCCCCTGCCCCCCCCCACCTGGCGCCACCCAGAGGCCTGCCCCAGCCCGATCCTGCCATCCTCCCCTGCCCCAGGAAACCTGGGTCTCCTGCTTGGCGCTGCACATTTAGTGCAAGTTACCCCCTCCTCGTGCTTGGCATTTTAAGGGGATGAAAAAGGACATGCCAAGGGCCTGAGGAGTTGACGGGGACCCCCGAGGCCCCCTCACCTTGCACATGCTCCAGCTGCAGGAAGATGGAATCCTCGCTTACAAAGTAGCGAAGCAGCTTTGTCATGTAGGGGACACCGTGCGGGATGATGGTCAGCCGCTCCCGGTTCGCCATGTGACACCTGGACAGGCTCTGGGGGGAGGACAGGCAGGTCAGCGGGGCACAGACCAGATGGTGCCCTGCGAGGGGATGTCCTAGCCTGGCTTTAGGGGCAAACAGATGATAGGGGTTAGAACCCACCCCAAAGAACAACTGCCTCCCCCCAGTTCCTGACCTGGCACTCACCCCTACTCCCACCACAGAATCCAGGCCCTCCACCCTCCAAAACAAGGATGAGGCAGTGTGTGTGTCTGGGAGGCGGGGGACATGCTCAGGGGCAGAACAAGCAGCTTTTAGATTTGGAGGGAGCTTCAGGTACAGGTTCTGGGTGGGAGGTTCCCCAGGGGGTAGGGGTTCCAAGAGCGGTAGGAAAGCCCCAGGGGGAATGCAGGATGACAGGGGACTAAGCGGCACCTGCCTTTACCACGAAGGTCCCTCCGGTCGCTGGGTCCTGGACCAGCTGCACCTGCCGAGGTCCAGGAGGCACGAGTCAAGGCAGAGGCTAGTTCCTGGGGCTCCAGGGCCCGAGCCCCAGCTCCCCAGGTTCCTCTCTCCAGGGCAGGCTGTAATGGTGCAGTGTGTGCCCCTGGCCCCCCAACGAGCTGACATCAACCCTGTCCTGCTCACACCCCCTTCGTTAGACCTGCAGTTTTAGCTCCGGTGCCAGCCCCCTGGTCAGGCTGGGACCCCTACTCTGTCTCCAGTGCTCTCTGGGCTCACCCTTAGGGAGCCCGATCACCGTGTCTAATTACCGGTCCCCCCACTCGGCTATGAGCAATATGAGGGCAGAGACTCCCCCGTCAGCTCTGTATTCCCAGAGTCCTGCACAGTGCAGGGATGTCGGAGACGCCTCATCTGTGCATGGTGCGTGGTCCCTCCTGCGGGGTTTGAGGGTGTCCTGGCTGGGCGGGACCTCAGAGCCAGTCACCTCTTCTGATCTCTTATTTTACAGGTGAAGCAGCTGAGGCTTTGAGAGTGCAGCCCAAGGTCACCCATGGGCCGAGCCGTGCCCCGAAACACACAGGCTTGGCATGGTCCTTTGGGTCCCTGCCCCTGCCTGCCCCTCCCCTTTTTTAAATAGTCTTTCTCTCTGGAGGCATCTATTGGAGAGCAGCCCCCTTCTCCCGTTGCTTTTGGTCCAAGGCAGCAACGTGCCAATTGCTGGGTCAGGGCCTTGTTTGGAGCTGGACCCTTGACTCATCTCTGTGGTGGGCAGGGGTGGACCCCAGCCACAGGAGAGAGCAGGAGCGTGTTGGGGCAGGAAAGCAGAAGATTTGGCCAGGTGAGGGGCATATGGGGGCAAGACCAGCACCCTGATGTCGTGACTCCTTGGCTGTCTGCCTGCCCTGCAGACCTCCCGCCTCCCCCCCCACCAGCCAGGCCACAAGGCAGTGGCAAAGGCTGCATCCAAGGATTGGGGTGGGAAAGGGGCACTGGGTTTAAATCTTGGGCAAGTGAATTGATTTTCTCATCTACCAAACAGGCATTACAAATGCCCACCTTCCCTCATTACTGGTTTGTTGAAGCCATAAATAGGCCCTTTATGGGCGCCTGGGTGGCTCAGTCAGTTAAGCGTCTGCCTTCAGCTCGGGTCAGGATCTCAGGGTCCTGGGATCGAGCCCCACATGGGGCTCCCTGCTCCGCGGGAAGCCTGCTTCTTCCTCTCCCTCTGCCCCTCCCCCTGCTTGTTTTCTGTCAAATAAATAAAATCTTTTTTTAAAAAGGCCCTTTGTTTCTATAAAGGCCAGGAGAACACCTGTTGCCACATTTGCCACATCACACTGCCTCTCTGAAACTTGTTCAACTGCAAAATGGGGTGACGGCAGTAGCTGCTTTAGGTCAGGAGGATGACCCCATTCCAGCAGACGAGTCTAACGGTGGCCTGCGCCTGCCATGCCACATGCCCTCCCTTGACAATCTGCAGTGACTGTTCCTGACATTATCGTAGGGAAGCCCCATGCTGGCTAAGAGCACTTATTCTGGGCTAAATGCTTTATATAGATTACTTAATTTTAGCCCCACAGCCCTACCAGGTGAGTGTTATGAATGACCCATTTTATTGATGAAGAAGCTGAGGTTCAGAGAGGTTATGTTACCTATAGTCCCACTGCTAAAAAGCGGTAGAGGTAGGATTTGAAGCCAGGCAGGGATGATCCGAGCCCTGGAGACCTAACTGCAAGGGGGGCACAGCCAGGTGACCATGGCACCTGCCCTCCCTTTGGTCCCCCTCCCCATCAGTGCCCTTCCGGAGGCAGCAGTGATGCCTGCCTTCTGACCACCAGAGGTCTCTCCTCCAACAGCCAGCGATGGAACCCAGCCCGGCCCCAGCTCCTTGACCAAATTTGTGCAATGTCTGAAAAAGCAAGAAAACTCGGGGGTAGGAGAATCGAGTTTCCCACAAATACAGACACCCTGGATAATTCCCCACTGTCCCTTGCCAACTGGGATTCCCTACCACCTTGTCCTGGCTAAGGTCCTCTCAGAGAGTCCAAAAAACCAGCAGTGAAGGCTGGGGAAGCCAGATTTAAAACTTGATCAGTACGCTGGAACAAGTGTGTTTAAATATATATATATATTTATGTATTTTTTAATACACACTCGTGCGCACACACATCTACCTATCTAGAGAGAAATAGACCAAAACACTAATAGCAATTAACTCGGAGCTAAGTAGGATAGTGGGGAATATATATATATAGATAGATACACACACACACATATATATACATATGTGTGTGTATATATATAGTTTTAAACTCCTTTCTCTTTCATATCCCAAGAGCAGAGGGGGCATTTTCCCCTTAAAGTAAGCAAACAAAAAAATCCCCCTCCTCTTTTGCTCAGTGCTATGGGGGACAGAGCACTAGCTAGTCACTTGACCTTATGAACCTCTGTTTCATTCTCTGTAAGACAATTATTAAAATGCAGCACTGTCCAAGGCGCCTGGGTGGCTCAGTCGGTTGAGCATCCGACTCTTGATTTTGGTTCAGGTCATGATCTCAGGGTCGGGAGATCGAGCCCCGTATTGGGCTCTGTGCTCAACTTGGAGTCTGCTTGGGTCCCTCCTCCCATCCCTGCACTCTCTGTCTCTCTCTCTCTCTAATAAATAAATAAATCTTAAAAAAAAATAAAATGCAGCACTGTTCATTGGAACATGAAATATATATCTGCCCTGTCCAATACAGAAGCTATTAACCATATGAAAAGCCAACAAGCCCTTGAAATGTGGTTGGGCAAATGAGAAGCAGAATATTTAATTTTAACTAATTTTAACTTCAATAGTCTTATGTGGCTAATGACTAATGGACGGGGCTGCACAGGCTAGTGCTTTTTTCCCAGAGCAACTGAGAGGGTTTAATGCAACAGTTTCGCAAATGAGAATGTGCCTTACTCATGTCAGGTGAATGTTGCCATTTGGAAGGTAGAAGGTAGTTCTGGGTGTCCCTACTTCACCTTTTCATAGAGGGAATTTTTTAATTCTTTTTAAGATACCCACTGAGATCTTGGGACAGGGAACAATGAAAGCTTCGGTGAAACACATTAACCCTTTCTTTAAAAATGCCCAAAGTATCAAAATCCCAGGAGGACTCTCTCATGGAGCAACCAAGTCCACAATTTCCAGATTCTCCAACTCCAAGGCCCATAGGGGCCTGGGATGTGAACCAAGGGGGCAGGGCAGGGACAAGGACAAACCAGAGGACTGGTGTCCCATTAAAACTGGCAGCACCCCCCCCCAACTCCTTGCTGCCATGTGAGGATGTGAGCCAGCATTTCCAGATCTTCCAATTTTGCAGGAGAAGCAGGAAAGCTGGACTTCTATATGAAACCTGCCAATTTTCAAATGTTGGTAAGTAATGATAATTTTAAAAAACACCCGTGTGTTTGAGCCAAAAAAACAAGAAGTAACTTGGATGGCCTTTTTCTTCCCCATCTCTGGCTCCTACATGAGGCTCAGCAAACATGTGGTGATATCTCTCAGGCTCCCCATGCTCCCTGAGAACAAACCCCTGGGTATTCTAGCCAGAGACCTATCTAGTCCCTGACCGCCCCCCACCCCCAACCTCGCAGTTCCCAGCAACGCCCTCTCCCTGCCAGTACCTCCTTAGCCCCTAGGGATCCCTCTCCCAGCCTGGTTCATCTAACAAGTGGGCATCTCTGGGGGCACTCCAGGCTTCCTGAGCAGGCCCTTGGCCCCTCCCTGGCCCTGAGGGCTGCTGGCCAGGCGCTGCTCTCCTGCCAGGATCTGCCTGGGCAGGGCTGCGGAATGGAGCGCCTGGCTGCAGGGACCTGGGCTCAGGGGCCCTAACATCTCTAATTTGGGGACGATGATGTTCCCGACTTGCAAATGACACAGAAAAGGGAAGCAGGATCTCAGGAGGGAGGTGGAGTAGGTAAACTGGATGCCCAAGAAAGGGTAAAAAAGGAAAGAAAGAATCTCAAAACAGAATGGTTGGGCTTGGCCTTAATTTGTGCTTCCCATATGCAGAGGCCTCAGAATCCTGGATTCTGAAAATGCTTTGCATATGCGTGTCCTGGGGTCAAACAAATTCGGGAAATTCTATCACAGACCTCCTTCTCGGAAACTCATGGTATACATTTGCATCCCCAAAGCTCTGCAAACTCCTATAATTAAAAAAACAAAGCCATGTCACTCTTACTCCCCATAACCCACACTGGTTGGACCTGGAACCCCCCTCTCCATGGTTCAGCGGGATCCCAACGTGAGGAAAAGGTGGTGGCAGTCCCCTCCCGGGCCGGTCTGTGGGAGCCGCTGTGCTTGGCTGGGGCCGCACAGACGAGTGCAGTTGGAGGGAAGGCAGATGGAAGCCGGCCGGGCCTTGGCTGACAGACTGGGGCCTGTTCCAGGGACCTGGGGAAGCAGCTGGAGCGCGGCTGGACAGGAAGCCTGCACGCCTCCCCGCCCGCCCTTGTCACTAGCATTTAGAGCCATCAAACACGTATCAAATGTTTCAGCGTGTGCCAGGCCTTTCCCAAAAGTTATTTCATTTTAGTTCCCACATGCCCCTGCGGGGGGGAGGATTCTTACCCCGCTCACAGATGAGGAAACCAACGGGAAGGTGAAGGCGTTTGCTGTGGCCACACTGCATGCAGCAGGCATCCTCTGTGAGCCACGGGCCCGGCAAAATCCCCCGATGAGTGTTTAAATTACAGATGCCTGGGCTCAACGCTGTAAATTCTGACTCCACGGGCCTGGGTGGGACCCAGGAATCCCTATTTAGGAAGCTCCCCAGGTGATTCTGATGAACAGCCAGTATGAGAAAGACCCAGGTTAGCAACTACTCAGGTGTGGCCTGGGTTGGGGCAGAGGGCAACCGAATATTGGCTCAGATTTCATTTGACTCAACTGTCTGTCCTTCTGGATCCCCCACTCTGAGGAGTGTCCCACGTACAGGTTGGGATGTCGGCTCCTATCTCCCTGCCTGCCCCACATTAAGAGAAAAGGCCTTAGATGGGGTCAGGATGGGGGTGGGGGGCAGGAGGGGATGGGCAGAGCCGCTGAGGCCCCTCTGGGGGCCGGGACCCTCAGCAGGACCGGCTTCTGGAGAGGAGTGTGCAATCACACCACATGAACTCCTTCAGCAGTACTTGGAGACAGCCCTGGGGTGCAGAGGGAGGGTGGGTGGGGGCCTGTGGGAAGCGGGAGGGGGAGTGAGCAGGGCCGTGTGGGCTGGCTTGGCGCCCTGCGCACTGCTTCTCCGGCTTCTGTCTTGAGCCTCTGAGGGAGTGGCTGTCTGTCTGAGCTCCAGGCTATGGAAAAGGGGCCATTTGCCTCTTCTGTTCCCCTTTTCCTCTCCAGGACCTGACTGATGTGTGCTGGGCTGGGAGAAGGTTGGGGAGCCACTGGACACAGCTGCTCTCCTCCCCTAGGGCCTACTGACCTCTTTCCAGCCCCTTCTCCCCATCCACCACCCCCATCTGCCTGCCCCATCTCCTTCGGCACCAAAACCGTGCCTGTCAGCTCACTCACCTTCTCGATGACCCCAACCACCTTGCAGCCCCTCAGCTGCTCCAGGGCAGAGCTCAGTGTGCGGATGGGCCGGAGCCTCAGGCTGCTGAAACCCTGCAGAGGTGGGAGACAGACCCCACAGACTCAGGGCCCAGCACTCCTCAGGCACTGCATTCTCACCGGGCCCTCCCCAGCTGCCAGGACAGCAGTGGGCACTAGGGGCAGAACCGGGGTCCACGGAGCACCCACCTCACAGGGAGCAGACAAGCTGGCCCTGACTGGCAGGGCCCCACCCCGGTCCCGGGTGACCACACTGCCCTCTGCCCTCGGCGCCCCCGGCCAGCCCTCCTCCAAGGCCCAGGGGAGTCCTCAGGCTTCAGATCCCCTGTCTTGAAAGCCCCACCCATAGGAGGCAGGTGCTCCCAGGGGTGGGGAAATAACCCAGGCACATGCGGGTCTCAGGGAACATGCCTGGAAGACCCAGCATGTGGCTCAGGCACCTACTTTGGGGAAAAGCAGCCTAATAAGATGCAGAAGAGAAAAACATTTCCAACATTGTGGTGTATTTATCGAAAAACTCCGAGTATAAGTGGACCCACACGGTTCAAACCCGTTCAAGGATCAACTGTGCTCACCCAAACTTCAACCCATTCAAACTTCAACAGACGTGGGAAACTTGCAGTGTGTACACATGGAGCTTGCGCATGAGCCGTGCATGAGAGTCTGGAGGTGTGTGTGTGTTTACCCTGTGTGGGGGTGAGACTGGCCTGGAGATGATGTGCTAAGAGTTTGAAGATGAAGGAACTAGTTGGGTGTGGGAGACGGAGGGAGCCAGCAGAATGGCAGGGAGACAGCCCTGTCCCTGGCACACACACAGCCCAGGACAGGAGGTGACAGCCCTCCGGCCCGTTGGGGGGGGGGGCCTCACTCTCTCCTCCCCGCTCAGAGCCCTCAGGCCTTTGGGGAGCGGTCTCCTCACCGTGCCGGGGCTGGCCCCACCGCCCAGGGTCTTCTGCAGGTGGCAGGTGAAGATCTCCTCGGCCCGCCGCAGGTACTTGGTAATTTTCAGCTTCACAGCCTCGCATCGCTCCTTGTTGGGGTCGACTGTGGGGTGAGGGGGTCACCAGGACCTACCCTGGCCCTGCGGCGGGGCCGGGGCTCCGGCTCCCGCTGCCCACCCTCTGCCTCCACAGGAGAGTGCCTGCTTCTGAGGCTGGTCTGCAGATGGTGCCCTGCCCCCAACTGTTCCCCCCACCCCCACCCCGCACACCCAGCCTTCCTCTGGGCAGGAGACCGGCAGCACCTGCCGATGAAGGAAGATGGGGGGAGAGGCTGGGTACGGTGGTCACAGGTGGCACCCTCCCCCACCTCACTGGCTGCCATCACACCCCGGGAAGGAACAGAGGGGGATTCCGGGGTCCGTTTTCAGAGCAGGAGACAGAAGCTCCCAGAGAACAGCCCTCTGCCTTCTCTGAGGCCCAGTGTGAAAAGGCCGGAGTGGGAACCAGGATTAGAAGAGGAATGGATTCACTGGGCAGTCGGAAGCCCCGGCGTTGGGGGGGCTCTGTGGCCGGGCGGCGGGGGCAAGAGGGGAGAGAAGCGTGAAGCAGGGACTGACTCCTCCCCCCCCACCGCCCTCGGGGGTCTCCACCTGGCCTCTCCCCTGCAGGCACAATGCCCCACTTTGCCGTAAACAGGCTGCTCTCTCTCTCTCTCTCTCTCTCCAGATGGCCCTTCGTTTTGACTTCTAGAAAATACCCTAGCCTAGCCTGGCGTCCTTTCCCTCTTTTCTCCCCTCATTTCTTCCTCATTGCTCTTCCCACCTGAGAGGTAATTATCCATCATTAAACTCATCAGTCTCGCCCCTGGTGATGCAAGGCCCCAGGGCAGGAGCGCCGCTCCGCTCCAGGGACAGGCAAGTGTACGGGGTCAGCGCCCAGCCTCTGGAGCCCCAACTGTTCAAACCTCAGCTCTGCCACTGAGACCTACGGAAACTTAAGCAAGTAATTTAACTGCCTGGTGCCTCAGTTTTCGCATCTGGAAAACAGGAATAAAAATAGTTCCTATATATGACATCAAACGTATATAGTCGTTTCCATTACCGTGAGGTTCAAATGAGTTAATACAGGTAAAGCCCTTAGACCAGGGTCCAGCATACATGAACCGCTCACACAGGCCAGCTATTACTACTGCCCCTGCCACAGGGCCTGCAGCGCCAGCCTAGAGCCCTGCTCACTCAGCACAGATGGACAGAGGACCGGGGGAGCCCCAAGCCTGCCCTGCCCCGGCAGCTCCCGCCCCTGGCCGCCCGGTCCTCACCGTGCACACCCCGCAGCAGCACGTCCACGCCGTTCTGGTAGTGGTTGAAGGCTGCCTCGTAGTCCTCACTGACATCCCGCTCCAGGGCCAGCCGGATCTGCGTGGCTGCATCCACCAGGTAGTCGCGCTTGGTCACGTCAGGGGCCCCGGGAGCCACCAGGTTGCGAATCTGCTCCAGGTACACGCGGGCCTGGGACCGTGCTCGGGAGCAAGGCTCAGGCTCCAGGCCAGGGCCCGGGGGGCACTCGCAGGCCACCAGACTCATGGCTGCTTGCCCTGTGGTGGTGACCTGAAATCAACAGATGCCCTGGGGAGGCCCCGGTGGCGAACAACAGCCCGTCCGTACCCTGGCTTCCTCTGCTGAAAACTGGGAGACTAGTACCTCCAAGGGCTGGAGGGATCAGAGCTAGTGCGGGTAACATCCCTCTATGGGGCCAGACCTTTTCTAAATGGTGATAATAGAATAATAACATGCTCGGGGCTCTTCCTTTCAATTCAAATTCACATCAACAGGTATTTCTTGAGCACTGGAGAGAGCTGAGGACATCTGTGATGCAGAACTGCCTTCCTGGGGTCTCAGAGACAAACTGGTGTCTAGCACATGGTAAACATATGTTGGCCACACGTTCCTCACACTGTTCCCTCCATCCTGCCTATTCTCCTGGTCATACTCCTCCTACAGGAATCTCATTTATCCTTCAGGGTTCAGCTCAATGGCATTTCCCTGAACAAGAGAGATTGCCCCCACCTTATTTCATTTCCTTTGGTGCGGAGGTCAGCAAGTGAGGAGCCCCCACCGCCACCCCCCGAGCCTGGCAGAGAGTTAGGCACAAGGCCTGGCCTTAAACCTGTGGGCAAATGAAATGACCTAGTGACAGATTCTGGATGGAGGTAGGGGAAGGAGGGCAGAGCCGACCGGCCCCAGGGAGGCAGCGGCACTCCCCTGGCTCCGTCTGAGTAAGCCAGGGGGCAACGTGGCCTCCAAGGACCTAGCAGCAGCTGCTCCCTGAGCAGTGTGTGACAAAAGTGGTCAAGGGGATAAGAGCAGTGGCTTCAGGAAAGGAAAGGGCTCTGGAGAGGCCCGCAGAACTGCCCCTACACCTCCGCCCCCCGCCTCAGTGGCACCTGTGTTCTCGCAGGCCCCACTGAGAAGGGCAGGGCCTGAACTTCCAAGACTAGGTCACCTCTGCCTAGAGGAACAGATAGAACAGGATGGGGAGTGGGGCGGGGAGGGAAACCCACATCCCCCAGCCCAGCGGGATGCTGAACTCCGGCCAGGATGCGGCCAGCGGGTGGAGGGAAGGAGGGAGGGAAGCCGCACCCTCCTTGCTCCGCCCAGCCACCCGGGACCCGCAGCTCGGAGGCCTGTGTCGGGGCGGGCGGACGCCAAGGCCGAGGGGCTGGGCTGCTCGAGTCAGGCTCCCGGGCCACCCCGCCGGGCTGGGTCCCGCGGGGCAGGACTGCGGGGCCGCGCCTGGACCCGGGAAGCAGAACGCCCAGCCCGCGAGTCCCGGCACGCAAGGTGCGCCACCCCGCGCGTTGGGACCGAGGGAGTGGGAGGAGGGGCCGCCCTCGCCTGGAGGACCGGAGCCCAGAGGAGGAGCCGGGCAAACCCCGTACCTGCCCGAGCCAGGAGCTCGGGCCGCGCGGCCGGACCTACCCCTTCCGCCACCGCCCCTCGTGCGGGAGACCGTGCACCACTCCGCCGCCTTGCGCCCTCCAGCCAGGTGCAGGGGCCTGGCCGGGTGCAGCCTGGCCATTGGCTGCGGATGAGCTCATCCTCCAGCGTTAGAATAAACCGCCAATCAGCACCCGGCTCCGTTTCTGCCGGCTCTTAAAGCCCCAGCATCCGCAAAGCTCGACCCTGGGGGAGGGAGTGAAGGGGACGTGAAGAGGGAGGGAGGGGCGGGGGTCCATAATCACCCAGGGCTGCGGCAGAGCCTGCTTCCGCAATCTAAGCCAACTAGGGGCGCAGGCATGGCTCAGTCGGTTGAGCTGGGACTCTTGGTTTCAGCTCAGGTCATGCTCTCAGGGTCCTGATCCAGCTCTGGGAGGGCTCCACGCTCAGCGAGGAGTCTGCTTGAGATTCTCTCCCTCTCCCTCTGTGCCTCCCCCTGCTCGCACTGGGGCACTCTCTGTCTCTCTCTCTCTCTAAAAATAAATTAATTAATTAAAAAAAAAGACATCTAGGTCGACTAGAAAACATGCCTGCCACTTCTGGGACTTTTCTCATTCATTATTTCATTCGGTCGTTTGACTATTTAATACTTTTGTACTGAGACACGACTATGCAGGAGGAACGAGATGCTGAGACACAGCGCCGGAAGAGACAGCCTCTGCTCACGTCTTCAGGGGTTTACAGTCTCTGGAGGGATCTAGGGATTAAAGAACTAAAGAATATAGTTGATGGTTCATTCCAGTTGTGATCAGAGCTGCATCAGAGAAGCACCACAGGGCCTATGAGACTTACAACAAGGGGAATGACCTGGTCTGGGGGTCAGAAGGCTTTCTAGAGGAAGTGATATCTGAACTGAGCATACAGACCTCACCTTCACCGCCTCCCCCCCCCCCCCCCCCCCGCCGCGCCCCGACCCCCCGCAGTGCTGCACTCATACTCTCCTTAGTGCACTGTCTCTCCCCTAGATATCTTATCATCCAGGTCCCCTTTCCTGAACCCCAACACCTCCTCCTCTGTCCTCATTCCCAGAGACATGCTTCCTCCTTCCCTTGAAAACACGGGAGCTCTCTTCTGTTTGCTCTCTGCTCACTAGCCAGGTCTGCACCCACATACTGCCTCCCCTTCCCACAGATGACCTGTCTGTGCCCCATCAAAGGCCAGCCTTACACTTGGGATCAGCCCCATCCTATCACCTACTCAAGGAACCATTCCAGCAATTCTCCCCTCTCTGTCCTGCATCATTAATTTTTGGCTCCCACCAGATCATTCTCATCTGATACAATCATAATGCTGATTCTCCCATTTTTAAAGCAAAACAACAAAACCAAACCAAACCGCTCTTGGCCTCACTTCTCCCTCTATCTACCACCCTAGGTTTGTAGCAAGGCTCCTTGAAAGAAAGGTCTATGCTTGCCCTCTCATTTCTCTTCTCCTACTCTTTCTTGAACCTGCTCTGATGAGGCTTTCTTCTTCAACATTCCTCTGAAATTGCTCTTGGCCAGGGCACTGGAGTGGCTCAGTTGGTTAAGTGGCTGACTCTTGATTTGGGCTCAGGCCGTGATCTCAGGGTCATGAGACTGAACTCTGTGCGGGGCTCCAAGTGGGGTTCCGTGCTGGGCATGGAGTCTGCTTAAGATTCTCTTTCCCTCTGCCCCTCCTCCCACTGCTCACTCACTCTCACTCTCAAAAAAAAGGGGGGGCACCTGTGTGGCTCGTCGGTTGAGCATCAGACTCTTGGTTTCAGCTCAGGTCATGATCTCATGGGTTGTGGGATCGAGCCCCACATCAGGCTCCACACTCAGTGGGGAGTCGACTGGAGATTCTCTCCCTCTCCCTCTGCCCCTCCCCACTCTCTCTCTCAAATAAATAAAAAAGTAAAATCTTAAAAAAAAATGAAATTGCTCTTGATCAAGTTACCAGTGACCTCCTGGTTGCTAAACCCAATGATCATTGCTTGGTCTTCACTTTCCTTGACCTCTCAGAAACATCCAACCCAAGTGATCATGCCTTTCTCCCTAGGCTTCTGGAACCCACACTCTCCTGGTTGCCTCCTGTCTCACTAGCAGCCCCTTCCCAGTCTCCTTTGATGGCTCTTCTCCTCCTCTCCAGCTTCTGAATGTTACAGTGACCCAGGGTTCAGTCCTTGATGTTTTCCTTACCTCTATCCTTATTGTCTTTTTTTTTTTTTTTAAGATTTTGTTTATTTGACAGAACGAGAGAGTACGAGCAGGTAGAAGGGCAGAGGGAGTGGGAGAAGCAGGCTTCCCGCTGAGCAGGGAGCCCGACGCGGGGCTTGATTCCAGGACCCTGGGATCATGACCTGAGCCAAAGGCAGACACTTAACTGACTGAGCCACCCAGGCGCCCCCTATCCTTACTGTCTTGATGAGGATTGCACATAGTCTTATGATTTTAAACAGCATTCTTCTATATGCTGATTGTTCTGTATATCATTTATCTATTTACAGATATCTTCTTTTTTTTAAAAGATTTTATTTATTTATTTATTTGTTTGTTTGTTTGTTTGAGAGAGAGAGAGAAACAACATGAGAGGGGAGAGGGTCAGAGGGAGAAGCAGGCTCCCCACTGAGCAGGAAACCCAATGCGGGACTCGATCCCAGGACTCCGGGATCATGACCTGAGCTGAAGGCAGTTGCTTAACCAACTGAGCCACCCAGGAGCCCCTTTACAGATATCTTCTATCTTCTGTATCTATTAGCCTTCACCTCTCTACCAGACTTAAGTATTTAATAGTCTAATAAAACATCTCAAATTCAACATGTCCAGAACGAAAGTCTTAAAACACAGCCTACAGAATTGGAGAAAACATCTGTAAATCATTTATTTGATAAGGGTCTAGCATCCAAAATATAACAAGAACCCTTACTATTCAACAATAAAATGACAAACAATCCAATTTAAAAGAGGCAAAGGATTTGAGTAAACACTTCTTCAGAGAAGATATACAAATGGCCAATAAGCACTTGAGAAGATACTCAATATCATTAGTCATTGGGGGAATACAAATTAAAACCACTTCATATCCACTAGGATGGCTTTGATAAAAAAAGATAGACAAGGGGCGCCTGGGGAGCTCAGTCGTTAAGCATCTGCCTTCGGCTCAGGTCATGATCCCAGGGTCCTGGGATCGAGCCCCGCATCGGGCTCCAGTCCCGCATCGGGCTCCAGTCCCGCATCGGGCTCCAGTCCCGCATCGGGCTCCCTGCTCCTGCTCCGCGGGAAGCCTGCTTCTCCCTCTCCCACTCCCCCTGCTTGTGTTCCCTCTCTCTCTGTGTCTCTCTGTCAAATAAATAAACAAAATCTTTAAAAAAAAAAAAAGGGTAGACAATAGCAAGTATTGATCTGGGGAAGTCGGAACTATGACGCATTGCCGGTCAGAGTGTAAAATGGTGCAGCTGCTTTGGAAAGCAGTTTGAAAGTTCTTGAGAAAAGAGTTACCATATGACCGAGCAATCCACTAATGGGCTCTCCGTACTCAAGAAAACTAAACACATATGTTCACATGAAAACTTACACATGGATGTTTATAGTGGCATCATTCATAATAATCAAAAAGTGGAAAGAATCCAAACAACCATCAACTGATGAACAGATAAATAAAATATGGCATATGCATATAATGGAATATTATCCAGCCATAAAAATAATGAAGTACGGATGGGTGGGCGGACCTTGAAAACACTATGCTGAGTAAAAAAAACAGACACAAAATACCACATATTTTATGAGTTCATTTATATAAAATTTGTACAACAGGCAAGGCCATAGGGACCAAAAATAGATTTCAGGGAGAGGGGAACGGGGGAGTGGCTGAAGAATATGGATTCCTTTTCTGGGTCAACAAATGTTCTGGAATTAGTGAGATGGTTGCAACACTTGTAAATATACTAAGAACCGCCAAATTCACATGGTTTTAGAAGATTTTATTTATTTGTCAGAGAGAGAGAGAATGCGAGAGCTCAAGCAGGGGGAGCAGCAGGCAGAGGGAGAAGCAGGCTCTCCGCTGAGCAAGGAGCCTGATGTGAGGCTCGATCCCAGGACCCTGGGTTCAGGATCCGAGCTGAAGGCAGACACTTAACTGACTGAGCCACCCAGGTGCCCCACAAATTCACATTTAAAGAAGTGAATGGTATATGAATTCTATCTCAATTTAAAAATTATCATAAGGAAAAAAAAACAAACACTGAATTATTGATCCTCCCTGACCTGAAACCTCCATCTAAAGCCTCTTCTAGCTCCATCCTTCCAATTGCTCAGGCCAAAAATTTTGAAGCCATCCTGGCTTCTCCTATTTTCTCACACTCTATATCCAATCCATTAGAATGTCATACTGGTTTTTCCCACAAAATATATCCAGACTCTGAGCACTGCTCACCCCCTCCACTTCTCACCTCCACCTCCACTGGTATGACTTTGGTAGGGGCATCTTCATCACATACCTGATTTACTGTTGGAGATTCCTCCTGGCTTACTGTTTCTACCATTGCCACCCTCAAGGCAGTCCTCAACACTGGGTCAGGGGATCCTTTCAAAGCACGGGTCAGATCCTGTCCCTCTTCTGCTCCAAAGTCTACAAGGGCTCCCATCCTTCAACTGAGAAAAACTCAAAGTCTCTACTATGACCTCCAAGGCTCTCATGGTCACCCTTCCCCATTATTTCTGCAGCTTCATCTCCTTCCAACCTTACTCACTCAACACCAGCCGCTCGGGCTTCCTTGTTGCTTCTGGAACATACCTGGCAGCTCCCACCCCAGAGCCCTTGCCTGGCAGCTACCCTCTGCCTGGAACAGTCTGCCTTTGGCCCTCTGCCTGGTAAACCCTAGCCTTGCTTCAAGTCATTGCCCTGCTGTCCCTTTCTTGAGAGACCAACTCTGACTACACCCTCCCAACACCCCATCTCCCTTACCCTGTTCCGCTTCTGTCCCACTGTACTCAACCCCATTAGCATGCAATATCATTTACTTACTTATTTCTCCACCTTTATGTTCTTTCCT